AATAATGTCCATCTAAGGAGGACATATTAAAGGCTTCGGTACTGTCCTCGTGCAAGCAGCCTTCCTTTGAACCTCAGGGCACACCAAGAAAATCCGTGCCTATGCACTGAACATGTAGCATTTCTGGCAAAAAAGATGTCATGTCACAATGAAAACTTTGGTTTGACCTCTTATACATGATTCTGAAAGTTGTTCAGCCTGTATCTAACATTCCTTGAGTGTCCTACTTTGCAAGTCCAAGAGCATTCCTTTAACAACCTGTATCCACGCTTGTTTCCTTAGAAGTCCATCAACAAAAAAACTTCACAGTGCAAATTCACATTGATCCTTGCATGAACCACCTTGGATCACAATGTGACTCTGGTAACTTGTGCAGGGAGTGACTGAAAGAGCACAAGCTGGTTGCTCATCACCATAGGGTGGTCACTAAGGAAACCAGTGGCACAGAAGGCTGAGACATGCTGCCACTAGATTCTCACCTAAAAGCTTTGAGGTTTCATTTCCACGCTTGTGGGAAAGCCCGTTTTGCATGCGCCACTCAACTTTAGCCCTTTCAGTCCTATCCCCACTATCTTTTTCATGGCAGAGACTTTTTTTTTTTACCCAAAACTCTATTCCTAATTTTATGCAACACTGCTTTAGCAGTTTCCACTGTCAGTGCCATCAGACCTAGTTGCTACAGCCTTACCCATGTAAACATTATAAGAACTTAAAAATGTGTTAAAATGTATACACACATTCCTAGAAAAAACTGAAAGACTAAAGGGTGCATGATGAAAAAATAAAAACTTTATTGAAATATTGTAGTACCAAGTTTAAAAATACTAAGATTAAAGAAAAATATAACCAAGATTCTCCATAACAATTCCATCTACTTTACAAATATATTGATGTGTGCAAAACTCTTAATTTTTACTTGGAGAAGTATCTCATACAGTTGAAACTCACGTGTGATGACACATGCTTAGTACTATCCGTCTTCTGCCACAGAGGAGAACAAATGGCCAGTACTGTGTTAAAGTTGAGGCAAGTTTTTGTAACATGAGATGCATTTCTCAAAATGACATAGAAAAATAACTTACTGTAATTTTTTTTTAAACTTTTACATATAAAGAGATAAAGGAATTCAAAAGTGCTAAACAAGAACAGATGTAATTGCTCTCAGAGGCAACAAACATTCAGTTACTACAGCCTGCCATTTTAGCGAAGTGCATAACTCGGGGATCACCAGCCGCCAGACCAGAGCTGCCAGAGCCCCCTTGTGGACACAAAATACATGCTAATCGGAACTTTTCTTGCCCGACAGCAACTGCACAATCTTAAAACAAGCTAAGCCAACAAAAGCACTCCTGTCATCACAACTATAGCCAGAGTATGCCAGTAGAACTTAACTGGGGCACAAGAATCCTTCTTACAGGCAGTGTGCCCTGGGGTTTTCCCACGGTTATGGAAGACCAGAAGACATTTCCAGCTTTTTAAGTAAATTACAATTTCTACAAATTACCATACCAAGTTAAATCAGAAACTCAGAGCCCAGGACCCTGTTTCTGCAACACTGGTCAAGAGTGAATGCACAGGAAGCAAAGAACAGGACATGCATATAGTTACAATCCCAGTCCCTAGCTTTCTATGGCTCAAGACTTCATCCAATAACAGTATCTTTATATTTAGCAGATCAATTTTACTTTCTAGAGTTTGCCCAGTCCTTTCTCAGGCCTGTGAAAGATTTTGGCATTCATAACTCCTGGGTGAAAAGAGGCAAGAGGTTTTCTCATTAGAGGTAATATTTCTCAGCTCTGCATATAAGTCAGATGTATATAAAATTATGCTTCCTCTGTAATACTGGAAGACTCCAGCACCATTACCATCTGCAAATAAGCAACAAGTGTCTAACAGACTCTGGTCAGGCAGAATAGTTGCAAGAAGCTCGCTTATCCCAAAGAATAATTCTAATGCTCTATTACAAAGGTCACACTACATGTCCTTGCTCCAGGACAGCTTCACAATTCGCAAAGCAGAGTGTTACTACAAAGAGGCATATGTTGAGATCAGTGTCATTAAGAAGCAAGCTTGAAGTCTCAAGACTGTCTCATTTAAAGGTCCACACCCAAGCTTGAACATGATTTTCCATTCTATTTGTTAAATGTGGGGCTCAGACATTTTTTCCTTTGATTATTAGCATGACCTCTCTCTGCCAAAGGCATCCTTACACCATCTAAGTCAAAAAGCTGCCTTAGATCATGTAGATCACCCACCAGCTAAACTGACTTAGGTAATTGCATACATAGTCTTTGCCTCTGTCATTTATGAAATGGACCATTTATTTTAAAGCTAACACAAACACCCTCATGGGAATGTGCTATAAATCCATAAATATTATTTAATTACCCATCTAGTTCAGAAACAAACTTGCATATAGGTCTCTAGATTAGGTCCAAAACAGGAAGTTAGATACAGTTCAGACTCCAAAATGTCAATTTCCCACAGGACCTGAGTTTCTACGCCAGTAAAACCCCCATAGCACTTTTACGGTTCTGCTGCTTGTTGTACTTTTTCAAACTAGCACACCTTCAAAATAAGCAAGAACTTTTCACAGACATTTCTTCAGTATTCAAAATTTAGGCATCCCACACAAGTTTTAACTGTGCAGTCCAGAACTGCAGGTACATTTTAAGCATTCTTAATACTCTCAAAACTGAGGATATGTTGGTGCTGCCAGATGTTGCCTTGATGGTATGCTGAAATTATTTACCTGGCATGTAGAACAGCTGGAGCTCAAGCCATCCCACTAAAAAGCTTCAAGAGACAATAAAACCATCTAAGTAGAGCTCAATCGTTAAGGGGCAATAAGGGACTTCACTTCCAGGCACTATCACAAGTCAGAAAGACACACGGCTATCTGACTTGGACACGAAGAGGTGTCCTGTTCCGATAAGCTGAACTGAGACTTTTCTTCTGATCTTTCTCACCAGCTAACTTAACCCTCACCTTTTTAAAAAACAAACAAAACAACTTTCTGCTGACAGTATCATTCTTAAATGTCTACCTTCTTGTGCACTGAGTAAGAAGCTCAAACCACCAATTTGTAACTAGTAATTCTGTTCAGCAGCAAAATGCCTGGAAGTAACCTAATTTGTTACTATGAGCATTTAAGCCCTGCAGTTTGAATACTGGCGCTTTTATTACTGTTTTCAAAATGAGGTGACAGGTCTTCTAACAGGAACATCAGCAAAATGTCAGGAGTCTTATGGGAGTCCCATTAATACTTCTTCTGAACAGATGATTTAAATCATTATCTGGAAAATACAAGAAGTTTCACTTAGACTAATAGAAGACTGGACCAGGTAACAAATAATTATCTCTTTGTTTCTAAAGTGTACATGGGCTAATTGTTCCAAGTCTTATCAGTAGGGAAAAGTGTTTATCAACTAAGAGAGTGCTGCATGTTGCACGATCCAAAAGCATTTGACCATACTAACTATTTTATTAAAAAGCATTCTGTAAAGCTTAATATTATCTCACAGGCCAATCTCACAAAACCGCAGTGATTAACTATAAATTCAGGTACTTTTATTTAACCCAGTACACAGACTTCAGAGAAGCTTTCTAAAATTTATAGCAGTTTTTCAGTGTTCAGCAGATGTTACTCTATTTGCTAAACAATATCAGACTGCAAAATTGCTCTTACTGTTGATGGATCAATAATGACATGGGATAAGTCATTATCTCCGTGGCAACAGATTCGTTAACTGTTAGAGGAATATTGCGCATGTTGCTGCTGCGACTCTTACAGGCATGCCTCGGCTTCCTCAAGCAGGTGCTCTCTCTGCAAGCCTGGTATGCCCAGAGTACTAACAACCAAGGGCATCTCTTGGACTACAGAGGATTAAACTACAACTGTGGTTATGTTATTCCAGAAGGAACATATTCTCACAAGGGTTTATTACACTTCAGTTTGATGTCCTTATTTCACTTATAATTTCTTACGAACCACATCCTTGTGGAAATAGCTAGAATGAAATTCAGGAAGGCAAATACTGCGAAGTTCTGTTCATAGCCCGACATTTTTTTGAAAGAAAACATTTAGTTGCCTTTAAGAATAGAAAGATCTCTTTCTTTTTACTCAATTTTATTTTAATTCCCCTCTGACTCCCCAGGATCTTGAAGTGTCAGGAGTCTTTCTGCTAGATTAAAACAACAAACTAGACCACTTGGGCTATGACGCTCGTCAAGCCTCTGTATACCATAGCAGTTCAACAAATAAAAAAACCCACATTTTTGCTTTGCAGAATTTACTGAAGTTTTATCTAGCACGAACTGCGTACTATTTTTTGTTTCCATATTGCACAACCTTGCACCATGTTAGTCAAAACAAATAAGCCACAGAAAACAGTAACTTCTCTGCGTCTTGATCAGCCTGTGATCTGGCTTCTGATGTTCTGCTGAATGCAAAACATACTGACACACACAATGCACAGCGTTCATCAACAATATGTGAACTTTTCCTTTAGATTCATAATAGAAATTATTTCTTCATAAATACATATATTTTCAAATACCGCAGCAACACTTTTTTTATTCATAAGCTATTCACGTGGGAGGACAAGCTGCAAGTTTGCCACAACTTCCTCTGGAATGTGTTCTAATTAAATTTAAATAAAAGGCAACAGAAGTGATGCCTGAAGGTGGTTTCATAGAAAATGAAAAATGAGTTGTCATTCAAGTATCAGCTGGATCTGACAAAAATCGAGAACTAGCAAACAGTCTTCCGAATGCCGAAGACAAGCTGGTCCTGTTTGTAAAGCTGTCACGTGAGTGGAACTGGGTGGAAAAAAAATCATTTTCCTTACAAACGCCAGCAATACAAATTGCCACTAATATACCACAAGTCCAGATGCTAGAGCTGCAGTGTAAATTAATACTCAGAAATACACCTTGTTATTTGTGAGAGACTCTGGCTTAGCACAGAGGAAAACGTTTCAACGCTTTCTTCTACTTACGGGATGGACGCGGCTGCTGCAGGAGACCTCCCCGCTCTGCTCCAAGTTCTTGCAAAGAGTCCGGCGTCTGCCCGGGAGCTCAAAGTTGCCTGCGCAGGCCGCCATTTGCGGGACGCCTTCCACGTTCCGCGCTTCCCCGGCTGACGCCGGGCCCTTCTGCGCGTCCGCCAGCGCCAACCGCACCAACCCCCCGCGCAGGCCGCCGGCCGCCCCATCGCGCTGCCCCTCTCCGGAGGTCTCGCTGCCGCGCCCGCCGCCGGCTGCGCCAGGGTCGGGCCAAGCCGCGCGAAGCTGCCGGTCGGTTCCTCGGCTCTCTTCCCCTCGCACTAAAGCCAAGCGCGCAAGACCCGCTAGTTCTCGGGGATACCGACCGCCTGCTTCGTCCCGTTAAAGTCAGCCAAAACCCAGCAAGCGACTGCGGGCAGACAGGGCCCTGGAGACACCCGAAGCTGCCGAGGAGGCAGGCCCAGCCGGCGCGTCGCCAGCCGCCCCCAGAACGCCTCGGCCGCCTCCTCCGCCTGCCGCGG